GAGTGTAAATTTTTACACGCGAGTTTTTTTTGAATTGAATATCAATTCTTAAAATTCATATTGGATGCTAGATTTGCATCACATATATGAGAGATCCCATCTACCCCCCTAACTAATTTTGAAAATATTGCGAAAAAATACTCCTCAACCAGGAGTCGAATCTGGAATCTCCGGCTTTACGGCCCGGAAAGCCAGGTTCGATTCCTGGCTGAGGAGTATTTTTTCGCAATATTTTCAAAATTAGTTAGGGGGGTAGATGGGATCTCTCATATATGTGATGCAAATCTAGCATCCAATATGAATTTTAAGAATTGATATTCAACTAAAAAAAAACTCACGTGTAAAAATTTACACTCGACAAATATATATATGCATATATATATATATATACGTAGTTTTCCGCACAACATCCTGCGATCGGCTCGGATGACCGTAATTATTTCTTAGTTTAGTAACTTTACAATACTTTGATGAAATAATGCCCAGAATGATATTTTAAGAAATCTAATAAACATATTTACTTAAAAAACTAACAAAAAAAAAACAAAATTTAATAAATATTAATTATAGATATGATATTATATATATTTATAACATTTAATAAATATAGGTAAATAAATAAGTAAATGAAAAAAATAACTTATAGCGATTTCGGCTGGTTTGCACCGACTGCACATTTCGGGTGTCGGTGCAAATTGTGAGTTCGGCTGGTCGAATGGCAGCAGTTCTTTGCTGGTTCCGCGTATTCGTCTGAGCTCAGTACACCGCATAGGTGCATGTTGGGTGTACACAAAGTGGCTCTCACAAATTAGTCGGAGTCAGTTAGTGTAATCAGTACACACACCGATGCGGTTGCACTCAATTGCACCAACTCTACACAGGTGGCACACCGGTGCAGACCAGCCGAAATCGCTATTAGTAAAAATCCAAGCTATGTTTTTTCACTTTACATATTTAAAAAGAAAACAATACTTATTGTCGCGCAAACAATTATTTAACTATTGTTAACTGTTTAATTATTGTTAACTGTTGTCAATAGTAAATTTGTTTCTTTTTTACGTTGCTTCTCAAAGTACTCAATTGTTACGCAAATCAAAGCATCTGGTTTAGACATTTAAACAAAATTTGATTTGAATTAAAATTCGAATTGAAACATTTGTTCGATTTAAACATTAAATATATATATATATATATATTGCGCGCACGCATTGTTTAAATATATCACGCTCATCTAGCGCTCCTGGCTCTTACTCACCAGGAGTTTTTATTATGACAAACTAATATTTAAAAATTTATACCGGAAATTATACGAACCTCCTCGGAAGACTCGAAGTTTGGAGGAGTCATACTGTGTGACGCGAATGCATAAAAGCAAATGACGCAAGAAGACGAAAGTTTGATTTCTGATGCAACATTGCAAAGTAAGTAGACGAAACGGAGCGGAGTGGTTCGCGATAACGACGCTCACGCTCACCTCAATTGGCCGCCATAGATCGATAGACTCGCGGTAACCTCGCGAACAGCCAATCGCGACGTTCCACTTGGCACTAAAATCAACCACTCACGAATAGTGACAGACGGGATGGGGGGGGGGGACGAACGATACTGCGCGCGTACTACAGTGTCTACAGTATGCTCTGATGCAGTAGTGTTGTTGCGTCAGCTGATAATGGATGTGTCATCATCTACGCGCTCGGTCGAGGATTAGCAGTTAGTCGGCGTTTTGCGGTGCGATGGTTCGGAGTGATTCGCAGCCGGTCGGTCGGTCGTAGTAGCTTTTTTTTTAAAGATTATATACGTATTTAAGAAGAAAGCAACAGATAGAAAAGACGATATTTTTTTATTGCATGGCGGATTATGTCCTCCATGAAGAGCGTAATCATCACCCTGCCTAAGGAATTGTCGAAGACATTTCCGAACGAGTTGTCGTTTAATAACGCGTGGGCACCCAAATTGAACTTCGCCACATCGATCTTGTCCGATAAAACGACAAGGATGGATTCTGCCATCAGAAAGGTGGTCACCACCAAGGAAGAGGAGGCGCGCGACGTCAAACCCGCGGAAACCAGCGTACGCGGCAAGAAACGTCGACTGGATCATTTGACGTGGGAGGAAAAGCTGCAGAGAAAGTGAGTCACGGATTTCATATCGGGGCTCATGGATATACATGCACGCTCACACACACAACACACACACACACACACACTTGGTCGGATGCTTGTACGATAACATCAGAAGAGAGAAAGCAGATAGACGTCTATTTCCCGTCTAACTTACTTCAAAAAGAGTACTTATTTCCGTACGGAAATCAATAAAGTTCTTTTTTCTAAATAAATAATAAATAATAAAACCATATTTGTTGAGTCGAAACGTGCGTTGTCACGATTTGGGCGTCTGTCCAAAAATAGACGTCTAGTATTTTCTCGTCGCTTCTGACGTCATCACTCAGATAACTGTCAACAAGCGAGGATTCTTATTTTATGCTTTACGAAGAGTCGGATTTTATTTTAAAAATTAAAATGTTTTATATATATATATATATATATATATATATATATATTTTATTTTATTTTATTTTTATTTTTTTTGAATACACAGTTTGTGTGTGTGTGTGTGTGGAACAGATATTCATTTTTCTTATCAAATTACAAAATGTCAAAGCAGATAACAACTGTTCACAGAGCTGCAAATGAGTGGAAAAACCAATATTTACGCAAGACTTGAAAATAAAGTGTTTTTAAGCGAATTACAGACATTTATCATATTGCTTGCGTATTGGTCGTTACATAAGTCACATTTGTTTCCTGTGTGCTGCTTTGATAATTTTATGATAGTGACATAAGGTCTATGATTACAGCTAATTATAAATGCCTCTTTTTTTTTGTACGAATTACATCCGTACAAAATAATATACCAACGCAGAACAAAAACTTCATTATACAGACATATATCAGACATCAAAAGCTTTATGCGATATTAATAGAGTTTTTGTTCTGTGCGGAATATGTTAGAGTTTTATGTAAATTACAAATCTTATTTATCGATTGCTGATGCAATTGCAGAAGTTATTTTTATTATTTTTCTTATATACGTGAATTGTAATGTTGATAATATTATCTGTTACGTCGCGTTTCTCACTGTCTCAGAATAACACATTTTACTTTATTTATTAAAAACTAAAACACTGATAGGGTAAAAGACCCAATTACTGTCATCTGTCCGATTACTGTCACCTGGCTATTTTATTTAAAATATTAAATAAATCCTAAAAAGTTATGCATAAAAACAATCTAACATAGAATTTTAAGTGCAATTAATATAACAAAAAATCCAGCACTCAACATTCGTGTCTCGTTTCTTTCATTTTAGGGGTGACGGTAATAGCTCTCGCATCGTTTTGTTTTAATTATTAAATTTATAAATAAAAATAGAGATTTTGAGAGGCGGTGTTATTTTGTTTCTTATATCAGAGACATCGAATAATACCAGATAAGAAGAAAAACACATGTTTTTTGATAAATAAGTAGTAAAAACAATTCACTAACGCCAGAGTTTATTATTCAGGTGACAGTAATTGGGTCTTTTACCCTATATTTTAAGTTATCACTTTTCTTTAAAATCATAAAAAAATAATTTGTATCTTCTATTATACAGAGAGAGAGAGATCTATTATACATATTAATATTCAAGTATGATAAATCAATATTCGATTTAAGTAGAAATAAATTTGTTTGATATTTGTTTAACAGAAAGCTGAAGAACCGGGTAGCGGCACAGACTTCAAGGGATCGCAAAAAGGCCAAGTTAGACGAGTTAGAAGAAACAGTACGAACGTTGAGAGAAAGAACGGAACAACTCACACAGCAGTGCACGATGTTAAGCTCGCAGAATGAGAAATTAATGACCGAAAACAAAAGGCTCAGAAGCGAGATAGACGTTGTCAGAGATCAGCAACAGCAGTACTGCTCCCTATGTCAGTCTCGTGTCGGCTGCGCTGTACCTTCAACCGGATCTGCAGTATCCATCAACCCTCTGCCGCAGGGTGGAACAGCACAGCCGGCATCGTGTCTGACAATGACGCCAGGAGCAGCCGTCCTGTTGAAGATTATGACTTTCTGTCTACTTTGGAAGAGCTATTCAGAGATCTCCCGGGAGACGACTGTGAAAAACTCCAAGAACTGGCCGAAAGCCTTATGCAAGAAGTTCCCGCCGAAGTGGAAGCAAATACTCAGAGATCAAATGAACAAGTGAGTCTCGGGAGTTTTAGTCCATGTGTAATCCGTTCTTTTCTCTTGTTATTATTTGTATGATTTTTATAAACAAATTAAAAATACTGTCGTAGAAGCCGTTTTGCCATGTTGTGCGGAAAAATATGCGCGTATATATATATATGTATATATAACAATTAAAGAATCTTTAAGGCTCCGAAGTTTCCAAACTAATAAATATATATATTCGGTCATGAGAGCCGTTAAACTAATTCTTTATTAATTGTTAAATTAAAAATATTTCCAAAACATTATTTATATTGTGTAAAATAATATTGTTTTCCTTTTTAACAAGTGCAAATAATCTATCAACGAAGAAATGGATGAAATATTCCGGAGCTAAACAGACTCTTAATACAAACGCAACTTGATTCTTGCTCCCGGAGTAGTTCCGTATGTTTCATTCATTTCCTCTCGCACGTTTTCATGATTCAGTCATTCCCTTTTTAATGACCTGTCCGTGTTTCTCTTTGCAGACAACCCTTGAGGACGATTCCGTTAAGCAATCTGAATATTCAGATGCAATGGTGGGGCAGGCATCAGAAAATGTGGAAGCCGGTCGAACCAGTGAAGGCGTAAATGACATCACTTATCTGGGTGATATAGACCCACATTCTGTTGTTTGCAACACAACGAGCACGGGATCGTTGAAATCGGTCAAAGCCGAGATCAAGCAGGAATCCGAGATAGCGCCGGAAACCGTCTACGGCACGTACGACGAAGCAACCAATTCCATCACTATCTTCTACGGCGAAGAGAACGGCGGTTGCGTGAGCATCCAGGAGTGCGTGCAGGAAGTTGTGAGCACCGGAGAACAGCAGTTGGAGAGCAGCGGCAACGTCTGTCCTGTCGTTGAAGACGCCGGAGTTGCCACGCATCTCACCGTTCCCACGGTGGCCAATCACACGGCCGGCTATCCAACGCAATTCTCACCCACGTACAGAGATGCCATGTCACCCGCGACGAGCGACGTCTACTCGGACGCGGACAGTTCAGGTGTTTTCACCGCGGGTTTTCACGCGACAAAACTGGATTGCTCAAGTCCGGACGGTGGTTACGAGTCGCACGACTCGCCGGACTCGCGTCAATCGAATCTTCTGACCGATCTCGGTATGGAGAACTTCACCGAGCTGTTTCCCGAACTGCTGACCTGACAATTCTCGCGAAGGCGAGCTGCCGTTAGCCGAATCGAAGCAATCGCGAAGTCGCATATTCAATACATTTTTGATAGTACGGGAAAAGCGAGCGACGCGAGAAGTAGAATATCGCGCCGTTGAGACGATGTTTCCTACACATCACAATAAATCCTAAAAAAAAGTCACATTTTTGTAAACAATATATAAAAGATAAAGGAGAAAAAAGAAAGCTATATACCGAAAATATATAATATATATAATGCCGAACAGTTCTCGTATCGCACTTTGAATAAAAAGTTCTAAAATTGTTTTTTACTAGATTTTTTTACAGCAGTTTTTTTTTACACTCGAATATTTCACGAGAAACACGAGGTTAAAGAGAGACTAATTGTAAATATTTTATAAGCTCGAGATATAGAAGAATATACACAAAATATTAAGTTAATAATAAAAAGTCTATATTATAACGTGAAGTTATATAGAAACAAATTAAATCTCTTTAAATGATTTCCAACAAGATATTCTCTAGCACAAAAAAAACAGCACTGTATAGATATAATTCAATATTAACATTAACGTGAACTTTTTTTCATTTGGTGTGTTTTGTACCTATGTGTTTGAAAATTTATCAAGTGTTTTTTCGATATGTCGAGAAGATTGAGTTTATATATACAAACAATATTGATACACACATTTACACACAGAGATATCTATATATGCGATGTTTATTAATGTCATGTATATAAATATAATTTATTTGTATATATTTGAAAATTTATTTTCGATGTGTGCAGCCAAAATTGCCAAATAAAATCTCGAAGGAGTGAAAGAGATGTGTTTCTTGATTTATTGTTCACAACTATATGCTACGCTTATAAACCATGGTTCGCGCGCATATACGCAATGACGCGAATTTGTGTACTCGCTTTCATTTTTCGTAATCCTCTTGATTATCACTTCACTTGCGTGTGATTATTATCGTAACTCGATCGAAGTTAATTTTATATAAATTTCTAACGCGTTGTTCACGCGGTTTGTTAAATCTCAACGCGCTGCCTCTTTTACAATTCTATGTAAATACTTTTACAAGCACGCGCGCGAGAATATTAACCCTCTATGGGCCGAATTTTTTTCTTAAATATAACTTGCAAGGTATTTATTTTGACATTTCAGGTTGATGGTGCTGCCAACCGTTATCAAATATTGTTATTGGTTATTTCAGAGGCATTATATAATTAAGACGTATATACATCATCTTGTGAAAAAAACTAAAACTATTTGATAAAATGTGGATATATTAGCTTGTGACTTGAAAGTTACATGGGCCCATAGAGGGTTAACGCGCGGGATGAGCTTTCGTTATATTTTAAATAACAGTGAAAATTCGGTAGTACATGTAAATACTTGTTCGAGTACGGGATGTGCGTTTATTAGATACACCTGTTAATATACAAATTTATTAGCAGTGTTCAACTAATATATACAGGGTGTCTGAAAAATTTTAATACAGTCGAAATGTGAAAATAGATTGATTTTGCAATTACAGAGAAAAAATGATTTGCAGCTCGTGCAATTTTCTTCAACAACCGAGAGACCGAGCGCAACAAGCGAGCGGGGCTTTGTGATACAGCTTCTTACGATCAGCTGATCTTCACATTTGAAAATCATAGGCACGCACTACAGAGTCATATCGTTTCCCACTCGCGCTCATTATGGCTCGTATTCATTGATCAATAAATAATTTCATCCATTAATTAATGCAAATTTTACACAAAATGACAAATGACTTTTCAGATCGACCCAATCTATAATTTTCACACTTCGGCTTTGTCAAAAGTTTTCAGAGACAACCTTTCTATCAATCCTTTTAAAAAATGGCATTTTACGAATTCGAATAAGTCTAAAAAATGCACTATATTTACCATATTTTTTTATATATATCTATATAAAAACATTCATATAACATAAAAAAAAATATAGAGTTTTTTACTTCAGATTTGTTCAACGACCATCAGAAAGCTCCGCGCAGTGTTTATAAACGGTAAATTATATTCTGACAATTGTCGAGCTAAAAATGTTTGTTAAAACTCAACATTAACAAGGGAAATGATGTGATTAAAAGATAACCATATTTCACAATATATTAATTAAAATCTGACATCAAACTTGAGTCTCGTCGCGATTTATACGCATATTCAATTGCACCATTCAAAAAAATCAATATTTATAAAAAAAAACAAATGGAAACTCGAAAAGAGAGAGAGAGAGAGATTAATTTGTAGGCAATGTGTAAGTCACGTCTCGTGCTTTTTATATAGGGCGAGATATTTTAATTGACTGATTGATCAATCGATGAATTTGCCCATAAACGATAGAAGCAAAAAAAAAAAAAATACTTTTACGTATTGCGTCAAGAGTAATTAAAAACCGAGAGCGCGTAACAGACTCTCCATTTCGTCATATTATCTTACAAAGTCTATGTAATTCGAAGACAATCTTTTTTGTTTTTCAATTATTTATCCAAAGAGTTTATCGAAGCAGCCATGGCAGTAAGGTTTATCGTTTTGCTCTTTGAATGTGCCCTTGTTCAGCTGCTTCAAACAAAATGCACACACAAAGTGCTCGGGGTGGAATTTCCGGAACATCGCCGTTATGCAACGACCTGAATGCAAACAAAATTGTTCATTATTGCGACATCACATATATCAAGTTTGACGTTTTTTCAAAAAAAAAAAAAAACAAAAGCAAGTCTTGTACCAGTAATGGGCTTGTGACATCCCGCGCACAGGGATCCTCTTTTGGCGTGATAGTGCGTCTCGCAATACGGCAATCCCTCATGATCGAAGAAGGAACCGCCCTGGAATTTTTGTCTGCAGTCCTGTTAAAAAAATAACACAGTTGTACATCGTATTTAAATAAATTATGCAAAATACCCTTTAAACGTAAAACAAAAAAATCGAAATATAGAAAACGTGATTTTTGTTCCAGTTGGAAAGTAAAAAATAAACCTATCGGTATCGGTTCATTAACACGTTTCTTGCTGAGTTTTTTTGTTTTGATAATTCAGTTTTGTTATTGAAAAACAAAGAATTTAGAGTTTTTAATAAAATATCGAATAAAATATCTTCTTCTTGTTATTATTAATTTAAAGAATTTAGAGTCTTTAATAAAATATCGAAATTCTGATGTTGTGTAAGTGCTTGCTAAAAGCTCGAATCTTTTCTTGAAATTTGTTTCTTATAGAAACTTGTGAGATGTCGTAGATAAATTATTAATCTTGCCCGTTCACGCGTTACTCACGTGACAAGAAACGTGTCGAGAGAAAATATACGCGACTTGTACATACACGTACATGCGCGTACATTGGGTGTGTCGAGAAAAATTTATATATATGTTATATCTCTTTTGACATTTCTCAGCGCATTGGCGCTGAAATTTCGTGACTTGTTATCCCTAATCATCGATCACAGATTTTCTGAACGGAAATTTATGTTGAAAGAAACATCAATAACGAGCTAATTCTGCTCATTAATTATTGTATATAGTTTCACATATCGGTCTCTTTGTGGTATATACAACGCGAACGGTGGCATCGCCGTCTGTGGCGCTCCTCACTCTCTTCGCATCTGTTGCCACACGCATCCTAAAGCATGAGTCCGAGTCGCTGTGTACACGAACCAGCCGACTCTTAAGTGTCATGTGTGTCTTTTTGTTGTTTTGGGGTTTTCTTTTTTTTTTTTTTTTTTTTTTTTT